AGTGCCCACATAAACATTACGTAGTGCATGGTCATTTTAAGCACATGATTTAAATAATCCTTCAGAGGTATACCCGCCCCAGTAGGGAGGCCTGGGTCAATGGTATTTCTGTTCTATGATCCCTTGAGGGAACCCTACATGTCCTTGCCACAATGGTGTTAACAGTTTACACGTCCCACACAAACAGTGTAAAAGTGTTCCTATGTTCCACATCCTCATCCAGCACCTGTTGTTTCCTGACTTTTTAATGATCGCCATTCTAACTGGTGTGAGATGGTATCTCCTTGTGGTTTTGATTTGCATTTCTCTGATGGCCAGTGATGAGCATTTTTTCACTTGTCTGTTCATTGCATAAATGTCTTCTTTTGAGAAGTGTCTGTTCATATCCTTTGCCCACTTTTTGATGGGGTTGATTTTTCTTGTAAATTTATTTAAATTCTTTGTAGATTCTGGATATTTGCCCTCTGATCTTTGACAAACCTGACAAAAACAAGAAATGGGGAAAGGATTCCCTATTTAATAAATGGTGTTGGGAAAACTGGCTAGCCATATGTAGAAAACTGTAACTGGATAGCTTCCTTACATATACCTTATATAAAAATTAATTCAAGATGGATTAAAGACTTAAATGTTAGACCTAAAACCATAAAAACCCTAGAAGAAAACCTAGGCAATACCATTCAGGACGCAGGCATGGGCAAGGACTTCATGACTAAAATACCAAAAGGAATGGCAACAAAAGCCAAAATTGACAAATGGGATCTAATTAAACTAAAGAGCTTCTGCACAGCAAAAGAAACTACCATTAGAGTGAAGAGGCAACCTACAGAATGGGAGACAATTTTTAAGTAAGCTTTCTGATGATTCCTACCCTCAGTTACTAAGTCACTCCACGACTGCATTTTCTCAATGAGACCTAACCATCGTGGTGCAGAGACAAGTCGTCCTTGCTTACTCTTTCCAAATTCCTGACTCTGAGAATTTGTGAGCTCCCCGGTAAAATCAATGTTGTTATATGGCTCTGCGTTTGGGGTGTTTTATTATGCAACAGTAAACAGATACTGGGGCATTAATCCACCAATATCTAACCCTCATTGGTTGTAAAGCATTAAGTCTCCAGGACGTTTAGGCTGCCCTGCATGGCTGAGCAAATTCCTGCAAGTAGAGTATTACAGAGATTTAAGCACTTGAAGTGGGAAGATGTCAGGGTATACAGTTCCTGCTCCCTGCAGCTGTAGGTGATTGCTGAGGTAGACTGAGCACACAGGGACAGAGCAACCTCACATGTATCTCACCTGTGGTCAAATTGCATATATTATAGAGTAGAAGATGAATATGTAAACTGACAAGCTGGAATATGCTAAATCCAATGATGGAGTTAGCATATGGCTCTTTGGCAGCTCAAAGGAGGGGCTTCTACCCCAGACCTCAAGGTATGAAGATAGTTTCCCAGAAGAACAAATTAAGTGAGTGCTTCAGCTCCCACTGTATCAGGATATAGGGAGGAGAAATTGGTAACTTCTCCAATATGCCAAACTCATCTGTAGAACAGTATTTTATGAAACCTCTGTTTTTAAGATAGCATTATGGTGCCCTACAAATAAAACCTTGGTAGGTTATAATTAAGCATATGATGATAACTGGCTTCCTTTTCTGAGAGAACAATGTCTCAGCCTGCACAGAATTGATTTAATGACCTGACTCTACTTATTTTAAGTATCCTCCTTAAAATAAGGAGGGATAATTTTGATTTTTTAGTGAGTAACTGAAGGTAATTTACTCTCTCTTACTGATATTCTATAAATTCCTTCTTAATTCAAAAGGCATTATTTTTTCAAAAAAAATTGAACATAAAGAAGGGGAAATAGAAAAATGTCATTCTCTGGCTCTCCATCTGAATATAACAGATTTAATAAGCAGTACTTTCTTTAACTAAAATTCTGATGCCCTATAAATCAATTTTTCTGGCAATATCTGCAATGCTGAACAAACTTTTGTGTGTTTTGTGTATATTTTCATGTGAATAAATTTTTTAGTGGTTTTGACTTTTCGATTTCTCATAGATTTTTATTGAAGTATAACAGAGAAGTACGCAAAGCATTACAGCTCAATGACTTTTCACAAATTATACACATTCATGTAACCAAGAGCCAGATCGAGAAACAGAATGACCATCCCAGAAATTTATTTTGCTGTCATTTCTAGGCACTCCCTCCTCAAAGGTAATTCCTATCCTGATGTGGGGCCATAGGTTTAACTTTCGTGCTTTCAGAACTATACAGATAGAACCATACCATGTGTGCTTATTTGGGTCTCATTCCTTCCACACAACGTTATGCCAGTGAGATTCATCTATTTTGTGTATTGTTGTTCATTAGACTTTGGTTGTTTGACTTTAATGGCCATGAATTAAGTTTTTCTTTCACTGGAAACATCAGGAGGTTCATGATTATCATCTTACATCCTGACATTCTGCTTCCAACTGAGGAGACCTTTTATTAGGGGGGAAAATAAGACTTTTCCGAAATGGCAATGCATTGCAGTTAGTGTTTCCTCCGGAAATTTGGCAAGGGTGTAGGAAGGGGAGTGTACTAGCCATTCATAGGACTTTGTCCTCAGATGCCTGAATTTTGTAGTTGAACAATTCCCACTGTAAGATAGAATTAATGCTGTTATATTATTTCTGTGTATGAGACCATGTTAGAAATGTAAAAGCGTGAGTTTAAATTCAGAGTACCACCAGCGAGGTTTATTTGCTTGCATTATCATAGTTTGAGTTCATCACCTCTGTTAGGGCTGGAAATTTTGGGCCAAGGATGAGGGGAAAGGTCTTTCTTGGTATGAAACATGTCAACAACTCTTTGAAAAAATGGTGCAGAAAGGTAACCTTAATTTAGTGATTTTATTAGTAAGTTCTACGGCACTGTAATGAAACTGCAAGATCTTCATCTTCCTTGCTCAGAAAGTAGTGACATACTAAGTTGAGTCTGATTCAATAGGTGAAATAAGATATTTTAAAATGTGTAGACAATTGAAAAAGCAATCTTTCTAGGAATTTGCCTCAGGAGAATGCAGGCAACCATTTGCCAAAGAGGCATAGGCAAGACTTTAATTTGTTAACAAGCTGGGTAACTCTATGACTGTAAGATCAGAGTACAATTGAATCTGTCTCATAGGGTTCTGGAGATATTTAAATGAGGTGGTCCATGTAAAGGCATGACCAGAAATCTTGACCATAATAAAGTCCGCAAGAAATGTTGGCTATTATTATTATTGTCAGAATAATGGTGAGCAAATGGTTAACCTGGAAAAGTTAGTGGGATCACAGCAGTGATCTCATTAGAAATAATATTTCTACAGATGATTATGTACAAGTTGGCACATAGCCTGGTACAGTGGGAAGGACGTTGCTTTGGAACCGAGGTACCACTGTTTTGTCTTATAACTGACTTTTGGCAAGTCACTTAACCTCCTTGAAGCCTCCTTGATTTCTTTCTGCATCTCCTTGATGGAGAAAATAATCGCTACCTTTCAGAATTTGTATGAAGCAAACATAAAAAGTGTTCTGAAAATGTCTGGCCCGTAATGGAAATCTGGCAGAAGTTAATTTTCTTCCCAACAACCTTTATGATTCTAGACTAGAGGATGGAATTGTGATCAGCCAGGGGAAGTTTAGATTTGGTCCTACAACTGTTATCTGTAATGGGTTTCCTCAAGAGAAATTGCTGGCTCATTGTGGAAGTTGACTAAGTGCAGTATTTCAGATAGAAGACAAACTGAGTGAACTATATGACCCCTTCTCCTTTACCTAACATGGAGTGATGAAAGTATTCATACAGGCTTATAGAAGGTTCCTTCTGAATCACTCAAGCCACAAGCAGTTTTTAGTAAATCCCAGTATCCATTAACCTTGTCTATAGCAAACACTAGTGACCAGAAGATGCACCACAAACACGCAGATTCTATTTTTGTCTTCTGCCTATCTCTTTGGCTGAACCTTGCTTCTTCTGTAATTTGAGATGGGGGTAGTCTATGTTGGTTTTCTTTGTGACAGAATTTAGGAAGATGGCTTATTAAAATTTTTGAAGCCATTTTGCTCATTTTATAATTTTTCTTTCTCTTTTTCAAACCAAGAGCCATGGCCTTTACATTTTCTTTTCTTTTCTTTTTTTTTTTTTTTTGAGATGGAGTCTCACTCTGTCACCCAGGCTGGAGTGCAGTGGCGTGATCTCAACTCACTGCAACTTCCACCTGCCAGGTTCAAGGGATTCTTCTGCCTCAGCCTCCTGAGTAGCTGGGACTACAGGCGTGTGCCACCACGCCTGGCTAATTTTTGTATTTTTAGTAGAGATGGGGTTTCACCATATTGGCCAGGCTGTTCTCGAACTCCTGACTTCTTGATATGCCTGCCTTGGCCTCTCAAAATGCTGGGATTACAGGTGTGAGCCATTGCGCCTGGCCACATTTTTCTTTTTTTAAAAAAAATTTCACTGTGCAAAGAGTATAAAGTAAGAAGGGAAACGGTGGAATGACTCTGAAGATAGTGTTAAGAAAAAAAATTACTCATGACATGTTCTTTAACAGCGTAGAGGAGTCAAGTATAACTTCAAATACAACAAGGATTTATAGCCAAGGAGCAGTGTTGGAGGCAGTGGATGGAAAATTACTAAGAGGAAACATCAGGGGTAAAGGGGATTCTGGTGAAACTAATTGGACAGACAGGATCCTTGCTGAAGGCAGGCCGAGGTTATAACACATTGAAGATGGGAGATAGGGAATTTAATCAGATATCAAATATGGGAGAGTTTTGCTAAAGTGACATAGCAGGAGTCCTGCTAAAACTGGACTAAACTGGAAAAGGGCAGAGCCCAAAGCTGGGCTTGTCACAAAGGGAGCTCAGAGGAGCTAGACTTAAGTTTGGTCAAAGAAGAGAGTCTTTGTCAGTAGTAAAGGAAAGAAGAAAGATTTCTTCCAATCAATTCCTTCCTGCCTTCTTCCAGGAAGGGGTTAGAAGGCATCCATCCTGTGGAGAGGGAGCACATACCACCTCCTCTGCAAGACAGCACTGGGGAAACAATGAGACCTCAGAGGGAAGGTGCCTGGTGGACATGAAGTAGAGAACCTGTGGAACTGAGGCTTCCAAAATCAGCTGGCATTTCCATTAACAAAAGCAGCAGTCAGCAGTCCTCAAGGAGCTGAGCAAGTTCTGCCAATGGACAGCTCATCATGAATTGGTGAGGACCAGTGACCCAAGTCCCTGAGAATTCCTAAACTGTGATAGTGCAGCATCTCTATGGCTGATATCAAATTTTCCATCAGCCTTTTGAGATAACAGCTGGTGTCTGGTTTAGGCTGCTGGTTAAAAAATAAGGAAGTGTAATTCTTTCTATATTGCCTAATGTTGTAGCTATAAAATCATACCTTCCACAAGTATAAACCCATTTGAGAGTTTGCAGTCTAAGGTTATTGTCTCTGGGTCTCTCATAATGATTAGAAAATGTTTCCATGTTAACCCAGTCAAAGGTGAAGACAGAGAGACCCTGAGAGATATTAAGGGATTGATCCAGCCACACCATCAGTGGAGTCCAGGTGAGGGAAAACCATAACTCTAGATTTCCTACCTTATAATTGCTCCCTCTCCAGGTTTGAGCAATGCTGTCTCAATATGATAGCCATTATTTCAAGCAATTTTTTATTTCTGTTCATGTTATTTACAGAAACCAGGTGGAAGATGGAAATGTAGCTGTGCTCCCCTGGTGCCTTTTAGATTCGTGCTTTCCATCCTTCCTTGCAGAGCGTCCACGTTGCTTCTGCATGATTCTGAGAACAGAAGGCTTAGAGAAAACGATTAATGATTGAAAAAGATTTTAGAATCCTGAGATGAAAGTGTTTGATGAGCCTGAAGTGCCACTCCTTGAAGGATTACCTCTTTTTATGCTTTGGCTGCCACTTGGCTGTGTTTAAGGGAAAGGCTGATCTCAGAAATTGATTCCTTTCCCCTTTGAACAAGCTAAAGTGGGCAGAATTGAAAAGGGATTTGAGTCTGCTGCCAGCTGCTTTGTTGTGGCCTGTTATCACCCCTGCATGAGGACAGTCTCTCAGGGTTGGCTGGCCTCGGAGCAGTTAATGAAGCCTCCTGTAGGGTCACCTTAATCCCTTTGCTGCTGCAACTTGCACACTTCAAGCTGAGTGAGAGAGTGAAGCTCCTGAGAAGGTAGGAAAAGGGGCAGTTGCCCAGCTACATGCTGCCAGGCCGCCTCAGCCCTGCCGTTGGCCAGGCTGCTCCCAAGTCTTGTGACAGCCAGGCAGTGGGGCTCTTACCATGGATCTCTGATGAGACAGCAATGGGCCTGGGTTGGGGGAGTAGGAGGAGAGAGAGTCTACACAAGGACAAAATGGACTCCAGGAAGATGCCCATGGTCTCTGAGTCACTACTGGGTGAGAAGCCTCTCTGCCATCCTCACAAGCCATGATGCCCAGAAGGTTGAATCTACCTGTCTTTCTTTAACCTTATCACATCCCTCATCTCATATCCACTTGCTTGACTTTGACAGCTTCTCTTATTACAGTCATGCACTGCATACTGACCTTTTGATCAACAACAGACCACATAGATGATGGTGGTTCCTTAATTTTATTGTGGAGCTAAAAACTCCTATCACCTAGTGATGCCATAGCCATCTCAACATTGCAGTGCAATGCATTACTCATGTGTTTGTGGTGAAGCTGGTATAAACAAACCTACTGCATTGCCAGTTACATAAAAGTATAGCACATACAATTACATATAGTCCATAATACTTGATAATGTTACTGGTTTATTTATTTACTGTACTGTACTTTTTATCATTATTTTATAACGTGTTCTTTCTAACTTGTATGTTTTTTAAAATTAATGGAAAAACAGCTCCAGGTAGGTCCTCCAGGAAGTATTGCAGAAGAAGGCATTGTTATCATAGGAGATGACAGCTCCATGGGTGTTACTGCCCCTGAAGACCTTCCAGTGGAAGAAGATGTGGAGGTGGGAGACGGTGATATTGATGATCGTCACCCTGTGGAAGTCTAGGCTAATGTGTGTGTTTGTGTCTTAGTTTTTAACAAAGAAGTTGAAAAAATAAAAATAAATTTAAGAATGTAGAAATAGAAGAAAGCTTATAGAATAAGGATATAAGGAAAGAATATTTTTGTACAGCTATACAATGTTTGTGTTTAGCTAAGTATTATTTTGAGTTAAAAAAGTTTTAAAAATTTAAAAGTTTGTGAAAAAGTTACAGTAAGCTAAGGTTAATTTCCTATTGAAGAAAATAAATTTAAATACATTTAGCGTGGTCTAAGTGTACAATGTTTATAAAGTCTACAGTAGCGCACAGTAATGTCCCGCACTTTCACATTCACTCATTATTCACTCACTCACGGACCCACCCAAATCAACTCACAGTTCCTGCAAGCTTCATTCATGGTAAATACCCTATACAGGTGCAACATTTTAAATCTTTTATACAATATCTTGTACACATATTTTTACTGAAACTTTTGTATGTTTAGATACACAAATACTTATCACTGTGTTATAATTGCCTACAGTACTCAGTACAATAACATGCTCTACAGGTTTGTAGCCCAGGATCAATAGGCTATACCATACAGCCCAGGTGTGTAGGGGCTATACCATCTAAGACTGTGTAAGTATACTCTACAATGTTCATACAATTACAAAATCGCCTGATGATGCATTTCTCAGAATGTATCCTCATCATTAAATGATGCGTGACTGTATTTTGATTTATTCTTCCCAAGGTCTCTTAATAGAAGATTGTTAGAGTTTGAGAGGATCTCAATAGTCACTCACACTTCTTACTTTATAGAAAGGAAAAATGAGGAGTGTAAGTGATTAGTCAGGCTGATGACTCACAGAGTCAGGATCGTGAGTTTGGATGTTCTGACTCCTCTCCAGGTCTCCTAATAGGGTGCTCCAGTATCTGCCTTCCTTCCTTCCCTCCCCTTCTTCCCCCTCCTCCTCCCCCTTCCTCATCCCTTCCCCTTACCCAATTTCTCTACTTTCTCTGTCTCTTCCATTCTCTTTCTCTCTCTCTCACTCTCGCTCTTGCTCTCACTCTCTCTCCCCCACATGCACAGTGGTATTAGGAAATAGGAAATCAGAGTTCTTGTTCTGAGTCTGCCAATGACCAATCATGTGACTTGCTGAAAGTCATCCAGTCTCAGCACTTGTTTGACCATCTGTAAAATGAAGGCGCTGACTAAAGGGTCTCAGTAGCACTGACAATTCCATGTGTTCACCAAATGCACCTCTTTTCCTTCTAGGCATGTGGGAAAACTACATTTTCCAGCTTTTCCTTTATTTGGGGCCAGATAATTGAGTTTTGACCAGCATAATGGTGGAGGTGACACATCTCACTCCAAGACTCGAGAGTAACGCACGCTGCCAGGGCCTCCTCACTCTTCTTTCCATCTGTGTGACTTTGGAGAGCAGGTCGGAAGTTGGAAGGATTGCAAGATGGGGAGCATTGTGTCGCCCGCCACCACATGCCCCTCCTTCACATCCATGACTTTGGGCCACAACATGAGAGCACTAAACCTTTGTTAAGTTACTTTGAATTAGGGATTGTTATAGCAGTTAACACACCCTAACTAATAAAAATATGTAAGACTGCTCAGAGAGTTGAATCTCTAAGATTCTGTGAATCAGTGTTACTTGATTTTATTCTCCTTCGTTCACTGTTTCTTAAGCAACTACAATGTACCAGAAATTGTCTTAAGATACAATCCTTCACTTCTGTCAACTCTAATTCAAACATGTTTGGAAACATTTTAGTATATGAGTTTGCCTTTGATTTCTGTTTTTCTTCCTACCACAGTGGTAAAGAGGATGCTGGGAGAAAAGACAGCGGTAAAGAGAAGGCTGGACAAAAGGCTTTCAATTGCTGATATCCAGCACCATTCTAAGGCAGTCTCAAAGCAGTTATTAAGTATCAGTGGGCCAGTTACAAAAGAATGAGAGGCAGAAGTGTTTCTAATGATGGGGCTGGTGGGAGCTAGTTGAAATGATTCAGCACTATCCACTCCAGGGGACTGGACTACAGCACTCCATTTAGAAATACCTGTACTGGGCCCTTTGGGTTCTTTGGAAAACATCTTTAAATCAGGTCCATGGACAAGTACTATCTGTCCTCATTAGAACTGTCAGTTCCCTACCGGCTGGGATGCCCACTCCTACTCTTGAATTCTTTAGGTACATTTTTCTTCTCAGCATTGCAGCTCAGCACATCCATCTGGCCACGAAAATAATATAATAGGGCATATTTTCAGCATGACCAATTAGATGTGCAACTTCCATTAACAATAACAGGACTTACACTCCAGATTCTTCCTCCATAAATCTGGCCTTTCCCCTTATGAGCAACAGATGGGTTTTCCACAATGGCTCATTACCTCCTGGCTCGGCTCTGCTGCCAGAAGTGAAATATAAAGTTATTTATGGATGGAGAATGATGCATAAGTCACTGTGGATTATTTTCTGCCATCCTTTTTCATTTATTTAGTGAGAGTTTTCTATTCCTCAAGATGAACAAGTTAGAGAAGATGGTGGTGTCCCTACTGAGAATGAAGATGGATGTCCCTTCAGCTTGGCGACTTTTCCTGATGGCTACAGATCTCTGGGGTGATGCTGCATTTCCCACAAGAAAGAGTAGTTGGGATATTTCCATAGAGAAGACACCCATCCCTCAAAAGATTCTCCAGCCTCTGACAGGCCATCTCTGTGAAATTTGGCCAGTGGGGGCACAAGTCAGTGCCACCTAACTGCACGTGATACACTTGAGAAAAAAAGATAAATTGCTTTTTTAAGGAATGCCAATATTTCTCACCACTTGACATCTCAACCAGATAAGGATTATTCATCTGTCAGTTGGGGGAGAAAGACTGGGGGCCAGTCAAAAAGACTGCTATGCTAAGCATAAGTACACAGTAAAAAGATAAAATGCTGTGAAGAAGAGAAGAGAGATGGGATAAGGATTTAGAAAGTAGCTCTGAGGGTAACATTCTCAGACTTTGTGAATGTGAAGCAGGCTGTGCCGTGTGCATAGACTCTGATTCAGTCCAGTCCTGCCCTGGGCCATTCTTTAAGTGCTCTGTGCCTCAGTTTCTTCATCTCTAAAGGAAAATAAAAATAATAGGAATGATAGTATCAGGATTAAATAAATTAACATTTGCAAAGCACGGACAATAGTGCCTACCATGTAGTAGGTGTTATAGCTGTTTGTTACATAAAGGAATTCAACCCAACAGTGGATTTTAATTGCTTTGTTTTCCCATGTGCTTCAATGGGGCTGACAATTATAGGAATCTATTGCCCCTCAGACCACAGGAGTGGATACCTCATTCAAACTAAGTACTTTCTTAGGATTTTTAAAATGGGTACACGAGAAAGATGCTCAGTCCTCTATTAAAATTTAGTTAAAAATTTAGATGCCTCCAGAAACCATGCACCTTGCACCATGTGACTTGGAAAAAGCTGATTAGCAGTAGAAGAGATGAATCCAACCCAGAGGAAGGCGGAGACAAGAGATAAGAGAGCCCTAAGCAGTGTTCCAGAGGCTGGTTTCATTGGTTTCTAAGAGAACTATGTTCATGGTCTTGTTGCAGCTTGATTCCATGAATCAAAATATTCCCCCTTTCTGGGACAGGAGGAAAGACATAATTGGTTAAAATTATGTCATTTGATATAACAACACTCACAACAAAAGACCAAAATGTACTGAAACAGAAACAAAACAAAAAAAACTACTGGAAAATACAGTTTCCAGTTCCCTGTGCCGTTCCCTTCTCCCACAACACATGTACGAAAGATATAGAGATGGGGAGAGGAGCGGGAAGAGGCGGAGGAGGAAGAAAACAGAGGGAGAGAGAGAGAGAGACAGAGAGAGAGAGAGAGAGAGAACCACCAGCATCACGAAGTATGGTAAGGGTGATGGGTCATTTTAAGAAGTGTATCTAGCAGAGAAGTAATCCTTTGTACTTCTACAGCCCAAGCATGAGAATAACAGAATCAGAAAATCCCAGAGCCAGGAATTACCTCACAGGTTTTATTCAGATTATGTGATTGCATTTCAAACTGTCTGGGTGTTAACTGAGCACAGGGAAACCACTTCTGACCTTGTCAGAAGCTCTATTGGTTTTAAATCACTTACTCCTCACATTGAAGCAAATCTGACTTCACAAAGTATCTCCTCATCATTCCTAGCACGTCCCTCTCGAAAACATTAAGTTTGTTTTCTCATTCACATGAGAGGATTAAAATATTTAAACATAGTTTTTATTTTCTCATCAATTTTTTCTTCCTTGGGACAAACATCCCTTCCAGAACATTTTGGTGAATATTAATGAGTTATAAAGTTTAGGACACTTAAGAGTCAACAGGGTTAGTGACAATAACGTTTGCTTGAAATCTGATCAGTATTATACTAAAATGTGGCAAGGCTCATTGGAGCCTATCACCTGAGAAAAACCCAAAAGATCTTAGGCCTGGAACAGCCATTCAGAAAAATAGAGCATTGCACAGTTGTCCTTTCAGGTACTGATGACTACAGACCATGAAACCAGGAACTAATTTCTAAGACATGAATCCAATTTCCTTTTCTCTAGGTCAATTTCCTTTTGAATTGACACTAATTAAGACAGACGTTATACTAAATGGCATTCTGTATTTGGAAAAAATGAGTTTTTATTTAGATTTTATTTTGCAGGGAATCTATTGAAATGCTACCTCCTTTACCTTTGAAACAGTTCTAAATGAAAAGAACACATTATTGAAATCTAGTTTCCCTGACTGAGAGGAGAAATTAAATACTAAAACACAGGAAACTTCTCTCTCCATCTCAAGTTTCAGTCCTGGAGACCGGATTCTAGTTAGGATTTTACTCCTGTTTATAAAGCAGAAGTAATAAAATAACTCTGGCTGATCTTTAAAAGAGTATTGTAGTCGATAGAAAAGACAGGCCTCAGTTACAACTATTAAAATAAAATGAGAGAAAAGGGAAAGAACAATTGCCTAG